TTCCTTCCTTCCTTTCTTAATTTCTTCTTCCTCCCTTTCTTCTTTCTCTCTCTCTCTCTCTCTCTCTCTCTCTCTCTCTCTCTCTCTCTCTCTCTCTCTCTCTCTTTCCCTAATAATGGAATGATAGTACATATGTCAGAGTTTTTATTTTGTGAGCAATGTAAATGGACTGTGATTAGATTAAATTTGTAAAAGGAACAAATTAGGGAATACTGAGAACTAGAATCAAATCTACCAAATCAGGGAAGCACAGAAAATAAGTCTGGAGAAGCACTTTTCTGAACATCCATAGGCTTATCTCTTACACTGATGTTTTAATTAGAATTAGAATTTTCAGAGCACCAGACTCTGCAGGTGTTGCCTGCAAGACAGGCAACATACATAGCTGTAATTTTCTGTCCCCTTTGTTCTGTCATCTCTGGATTGTTGTAATTACCTCCACTCCCCAAAAGGAAACTCTTTATCTTTCCTTTATTTCATAACTGGCTCCTGAGTCAACATTGGTAACGATGCACCTGTCTCCTGGGACCCAGTCATGTGATCACATGTAATCTGCACAGTAGGCTGAATATATGAAGTACCAGTTTGCTAGGATTGTATTACAAAATACCACAGACTGGCCAGGCACAGTGACACGTGCCTGTAATCCCAGCAACTTTGGAGGCTGGGGCAGCAGGATCATGAGTTCAAAGCCAGTCTCAGCAAAATCGAGGTGCTAAGCAATTCAGTGAGACCCTGTCTCTGAATTAAATATAAAATAGGGCTGGGGATGTGGCTCAGTGGGCCACTGCCCCTGAGTTCAATACTCCACCCACAACCCTCCCCACCCCCCAAAAAAAAGAAAAAAATCCCACAGACTGGTTGGCCTAAACAGCAAAATTTATTTTCTCACAATTCTGGAGGATTTAAGTCAAAAATCCAGGTGTCGGCAGCTTTCAGTTCTCCTGAGGTCTCTCTCCTTGGCTTGCAGATGGCTATCTTCTCACTGTCTCCTCACATGGTCCTCTTTGTTCTGCCTGTGCTGCCTCTGCCTTATTCTTGTCTTCTTACATGGACACAGGTCATTTTGGATGGGAGACACCCTAAAAACCCCATTTTTACTGAATCACCTCTTTAAAGGGCCTATGTCTGATACACTCATGTTCCAAGGTACTCAGCGCTGGGGACTCAACATATAAATTTTGTGGAAACATAATTCAGTGCATAACAATGAGTAGCTGGGGCTTTCAATTTCTATGACAGGACAAGGAGCTTTGCAGTCCAGACATGGAGGTCAATTTGAGATCCACCCACTCTATAGTTGGCCATGTCCTCTGGGGCGGTATTCTCATGAAAAATGGGTAATATCAATACAGTGCTACCTTTTCAGAATTGTGGAAATGTCAATGATGAGATAATAAAGTGCCGTTTCGAGCAGGGCCTGACAGTTATGTCTCAGAACATGCTATTGCTAAAAAAAAAAAAAAAAAAAAAAATGGATCTTGAAGCTTAAAGGTGATTAGCAATCAAAAAGACAAACAAAGGTGAAAAAGGCCTTCTAGAAAATTTTGTAAATGTTTTAATTTTGAACTGAAGATATTCTGTGTGGAAAATTAGCTAGTAATTGAGCAGAAAAAAGTAAGGTAGAAAAAGAAAAGAAGAAAAAGAGGCTGGGGGAGAGCGCTGGCTGGAACATGTGTGGATTGGAGAGCGCTAGAAGAGGAGCCCACAGCATGGTCTGGGTGGGATCAAAGTCACAAATCCATTTTGTTAGAAAAAACAAATGGGAGTTTTTTGATCAATAAACTGGTGTGTGTGAGTGTGTGTGTGTGTGTGTTTTGGTGTTATTTTATAAGTTGAAATTTTCATCTGCCTGTTACCTGCTAGTTTTAAAGAGATTTTCCAGGAAAAATAGAAAATAATTAAGAGATGTTCCCAGACTCTAAGAAATCCCAAGACTTGTCCAATGTTATACTACAAAGAGGGCAGGAGTCCAGTTTTATCAATATTTGCATATATTTGGCTCTATATGCAAAAAGTGCCCAGACTCTGGGAAGGAGAACTGTGAAGTCAGCTAACTAAAATGAAAGGGGACCTGTTCACTGTACCTTTGTTGAAACATGAGAATTCATTTCCCATTCATAAATGAAGTAAGTGAAGAAAGAATAAAAGATTCTCTTAAAACATATGTTTTCTTCCAGGAGCTCAAGTATGATGTGATATTAAAAGATCCATTAATACAATGTATGAAATTAAACATTTATATGCTTTGCCAATTAAAAAATATCCAACTTCAAAATATTTTCCTGATATAACTCTTCATTATTAATGTAGACATATAAACCAATGGAACATAACAGAGAGATCAGAAATAAACACATGCATAACCACTCGACTGTTCTTTGTCAAGGGCATCAAGAATAGACAAGGGGAAGAAGAGTGTCTGCAACAAATGGTTGTTGGAAAACTGGATATCCACTTGCAAATTAATGACACTGGACCTTCAGCTTATGCCATACACCAAATCAACTGGACATGGATTCAAGACCTCAACATCAGTTTAAAAATGTGACACTCCTAGGATAAGACAGGAGAGGAGTTTCTTGCCCTTGCCCTTGGTGATGACTGATTCATGGATATGATTTTAAAAGCACAGCCAACAAAAGAAAAAGGAGACAACTGAGACTATGTCTTCCCAAAGAGCTTCTTCACAGCAAATGAAACAATCTACAGAGCAAAACAGTTACCTATGGGGTTGAACAAAAATTATTCACAAACCATGTCTGATAAGAGGTGAATCTCCAATATATATAAAAACTCCGGCAACTCAATAGAAAAAGTAAAAATATTTATTTAAAAGTGGAAAAAGGACTTGACTAGACATTTCCTCAAAGATATATAAATGGTCAAATATTTGTTTAAAATGTGTCCAACATCACTAATCATCAGGGAACTGACAATCAGCATCAGGAATCAGGGATTCAAGCTTCCCATTGCATATTCCTTTTTTTTATGAACCTGTTTTATTTTATTCACGTTTAACATGATTATACACATCTATGTGCCTAACACAATCTTCACGTTACATTAAAAATACAGTAAAATAACATTCAACATTAGCTACTTCATATTTATATATTTCTTTTACTTTACAAATAATGCTGTAAACTTCTAAAGTCAAGCACACTGAGGCATAAGTTTCTAAAGAGTCTTGAGTTAGCTGAGCTTATCAAACACCTTTTTTTTTTTAAAAAAAAGACAGATAGGTGCAATAATTATGTAAAAATTAGACCATTTACTTAAATACTATTTTAAGATATGCTTAAAGAATGTTGCATTAGAACCACTAGCCTGATTACCCATTATCTCCAGTATAAACAATGAAAAAGTCTGCCAGGTGCTTTGGGGAAAGCATGTACAGTGTACTCTGTGTAATGAAGGGTGTTCATACACTAGACTTGCCCGCCTTGTCAAAACAAAGGTTTCTAATTTTAAAGCCTACAAAATTTAAAATTACCAAAGAAAAGAAAGCAAGCCAATTAGCATTCATTCCATTTTGATGAAAATGCAGAAAAGAGACTCAGCTTAAAATATATCACATTTTTTTTTCTAAATAAAGTTGTCAATTTTTATTCACAGCTTTCAGCACAGTCCAATCAGATGGTGAATGTGTTTTTTTTTCTGTTTAATAGTAATTTACAGAAAATTAAGTTCTTCTATATCCAGTATACCGCATCTCATGTGGCTTTTAGCCAGCTGTTTCTTAGCTGTGCAGAAGGGAGCTCAGCAACAGAAACACTGACTGTCAATGAAATTCCTAATGATACCCCTCTGAGACTATCACACTCACCTCTGCAACTATGAAATTAGTGCTAAGTAACATATCATCTTCTCTGACTTAAAAACAGGTGCCTTTTAATTACTCCTACCAGTTTGCATCGTAGCTATGAGTTACTGAAATGTTTAACCGTAATTTATTAACAGAGTCCTGTGTTAAAGTATTTTTAATTGAAAATTTATCTTTATTTCATCATGCATTGTGTGTTCTTGGTATCCTTGATTAAAATCAGTTGAATGTACATGCATGGGCTTATTTTTGGGCTCTCTATGCTGTTCCATTGGTTTGTATGTCTGCCTTAATGATAGTAATCAAAAAATGATAGTTTTGATTACTGAAGCTTATGTGATACATTTGTTCTTCTTTCTCAAAATGATCTTAGCTCTTCAGGATCCTTGGTGCTCAACATCACTAATCCTCAGAGGAATGAGATATTGCAATTAAATTTCATCTCATTTCTATGAAGATGGCTACTATATAAAAGACAAGCAAATGTTGGTGAGGATGTGAAGAAATTGAAACCCATGAACATGATTGTGGGAATACAAACTGTTTTATCTATTAAAGCCAGCAGTATGGATATTCCTCAAAAAATTATAGATAGAACTACTGTATGATCCATCTATCCCACTTCTAGATATTTATCAAAATAACTGAAATCAGAGATTCACAGCCTCTGGGACAGATTCTCCTTTGCTAACAAAACAATAAAGATTTCTTTTTCTCAAAACTGTGTCCTCATTATTGGATTAGCATCTGGGACAACTTTGGAGCTTTCAGCAACAAATTGGCACCCCAGGTGGAACCAGAGAGCAGTCCCCATTCCAACTTTCTTGTACAAGTCTGGCTCTCTAAGGAACCCCACTTCCATTCTGAAGATGCACGATGGCTGGCAAACTTGTTGAGAGCCAGAGGCAAGAGAGTTAGGAGATGGGTGAATTTTCCTCAGGTCAAACTGGAGGACTTATTCCTGTGAGTAAAGGGAGAAACTGAAGGACCATCCCAGCAGGTGCTGAAATTTTTTCTTGCTTCAGAGAACTCCTGCCTTTTCTCTCTGAATGGTACAGTTTGCTCCACTGATTATCAGAACTCTGACCCTTCCTGGTGGGTGACATCAGGAAGAGGCTGAATAATATTGTATTTCTGTATATACCATATTTTCAGTATGGTATATACTAGTAGAGGAAAAGCTAAAAAGGTTTTGCACACATACTCAAGAGTGATTTCTGAGGAATTTCAGTTGAGTCTTAAGAGTAGATAGGAACAAGGTCAATTTTGACCAACTTGGTCTTGAACACATTATAGCCTAAGCACAGTCCTACATGGGCATTTAAAATGAAAAACAATGTTGTATTTTTAAATGAAACCTAAGGTATACACTTGTGTCAGCCCTACCAAAAGTAAGTAAAGTTTGAGGCTATAAAGGAAGGGTTATTTTGTGGCAGTGACTAATAATAATAATCACAAAGTACTCACTTGCAAGTTTGTCCTGAGTTAATTTGAACCTCATCTTGTGGACTTACAGATCCCCCAGACTTCTTATATTGATAAACTCAATCTGTTTTTCACTTATATGGATACGAGTTACTATGTTCATAATGTTCAGAAACTGGCTTAAATACTAATTGCTTTTGTGCTGATTGTTTACAAAAAAAGTAATGCTTTGCTGTCTTGTTTATTGTTGTTTTAGCATGATCTCTGCTCTATATATGCCTGTCACCTGCCATCTGCCACTGTGGACCTCTGGACTGCTCTGATGCTGAATACCCTTAACTTTCCATGCACCACCTCCTCACTATAGAAAACAAGGACTTTATGCTACTTTTCCCACCACCTCCCTCTTTCAGCAGAAAGCAGCTTGGAGATGTCATCACCTATTTATCCATAGAAATGAAATGTAGAATTTGACATAGTCTGCTTTATGCTTTGAATATAGTCCTTGCAGCTCTGACATTGCAACTTATTTTTTAAGTGAGTAATTTTTTTTTCTCTTTCTCTCTCCTTGCTCCTCCCTAATCTCTCCCCTTCCCTATTCTCAGGGAAACAGGATTACCTTTCTTCCCCTTCTTAGGCTAACTTATCTGACCTTGAGAACACATCCACCACAGGAAAAAAGTAATCCAGACTTCAGGGTACCAGAAGATCTCAGAAAATGAATGTCTCCCAAATCAACAAGTGAGTTACAACTCCAAGAGAGAAGATATGGGATGTAGCTTTGAATCACCTCTTTAAAAGCCTCCTGTTTCTGAGGAGGGGCAGAATCACAACCTCTGGGAGAGGAATCTCCAGTGTTTCTCCTTTGCTAGCAAAGCAATAAGCCTTCATTTTCCTTTTTCTCATAAATAAATAAATAAATAAATGTTTTAAAAAATAATTGAAATCAAGATCTCAATGAGACACTTGCACTCCTTTGTGTGTTGCAGCACTATTTACAACAATCAAAATGTGGAAACAACCTAATGTAAGTCAATGGATAAATGATAAAGAAAATATGGTATATACAGAAATACAATATTATTCAGCCTTTTTAAAAAGATGACCCTGTCATGTAACAACGTGAATGAACCTTGTGAACACCATGCTGTGTAAAATAAACCAGTCCTCAAAGAACAAATACTGCATGATTCTACTTAGATGAAGTATTGAAACTAGTCAAACTTATATCAGAGTAGAATAGTGGTTGCCAGGGACTAAGGGGAGGATGATATGGGGAGATATTGGTCCAGGAGTATCAAGTTTCAGTTAGACAGGATAAAAAAAATTTGAGAGGTCTGTTGCACAATATTTTGCCCCTAGCTACGAATACTAAATTGTGGAGATATCTATATATTTTAATAGATCTTAAGTGTTCTCACCACAATTTAAAACTATTCTTGTCCTTGCAAAGGGTAAACCTGATTTAAATAAAGGACAATGAAAGGATAAATGTTGTGTCAGAAAATCTCCAAACAGAAATGAAAAGGAATATGAAAGTAAACCTGAAAGAAGGGGCACACCAAGAAGGAACTGGAGGATGTCTGTAGCCAGACACTAAAGTTCCTTTGAGGCAACGCTAATCATCACAGTGGATGCTAGAAGTGACCTTTTAAACAAAAGTGCTGCTATTTTTTTTTAACTTCAAAGCCCTTATAGTTATGAAGTACTCTCCTCAGAATGTATGTGTGGGGTGGAAGTTGGGGCATGAGGTTGTGGAGGAAGACAGGGGTCCCTCCTGGAGAAATCCATCACAATATCTTCACCTGGGACACAGCCAGTCTGAAGGTGGCAGGATAAAGACATGGAGGCAACTATTTAGGAGACAAATGCTCCCCAGGGCTCAGCCCACCCAGCCCTCTTAGGCTTCAAAGAAAATGAAAACTCCCCAGCTTGAGCCTGTGTGTCACAGAAAGTCCCTTGTGTCAGGAGGTTTGTGCTCAGCTCCCCCTGTAGCCCCAGACACTCTGTCACCCAGAACACAGAAGTACTCAGCCGAGTCGCTCCAATGGGCTGAGGGCTTCCTCAAGTGGAAGGAAGTTTCATTCTTCCTAAGTTCAGCCTGGAAACCATTGATGCCTATCACCAGGGTGGCCCCTGACACGTACTTCAGGAGGAGCTGGAGGCCTTGGCTGGGGCGTTGCTGGTACCAGAAGAGAGAGGGAGGAACAGAAGATGAGTAGCTGCACCTCAGCTGCAGAGGGGCTCCTTCAGAGACCAGGACGTGGCGGTCAGGCTGGGTCACTGATTGGGCTCCACTTCCTCCTGCAACATTGATGCTGAGTAAGGAAAAGCAGCACAAACTTGGTTGTGAAGAAAAAGTGTCCCTTTTCAATTAGAATCAAAACACGGTCACTTTCGTGTGAGGAGAGAGAAAATGTCATATACTCACTCAGGGTAAAAACCATTGCAAGTACTGGCACAATCACCAAGAGCATGGCTGGGTGGTGGAAAAGCTACAGGGATCTGCACAGGTGGGAAGGTAGTGTGGAGCCCTGAGCCTCTAGGGCATGGAGTGGAGAGGCGGGGCTGCAAACGTCTCTTGGTTGGACAAATTTCAAAAACGCTTGGAAAGAGGCTTTCCTTTAAGCAGTCTGTATGCTCTCTGGCCCTTGTTCTAGTGACAGATCTCTTATCTACAAAGACATCTGTGAGGAAATAACAGCCAGTGGCAGGGAGGAGGGGCTCAGTTGATGAAGAGGATGCTCAGTAAAAACAGAAGCCTCCCTGGTGCAACATCGCCCTCTGGAGGCCAGAGGCGGAATGAGGGATCTAGAACTATGGTTGTTCCCTTTGGATGTCAGAAATGTGATGTGCCAAATTCAAGGGAATATGTGTGTCCCTTTCAGAATCTGTGATGATGTCACCTTCTGCAGTACATGATATTAATCTTAAAGTACATGAGAAGTGGGAGTT